GCCGAAACCCTACCAAGTCTTCCTCTCCGACCATTAACCAATACACGGAGAGTATTGTCTTTTGTCGGTGAACATTTATGCTTTCCAGAAGACATTTTCGCATTCTGAACCATTGTTATCCGTTGTAATGTAAAAGAATTTAATACGCAGAATAAAAAAAGACGAAAAGTTGATGAAGATGAGTTATCAAATGTGCTTTTTGTCCTAACTCAACAGATCTGGCTACGCCCGGAGATTTGGTGATGAGCACTAGTTCAGGCATGCTGGTCGCCGCCAACAACGACTTCCCCAGCGTCCTCTCGTCTCCGATGGCAGCTGTCGCAACCAGCAACAACCAGGTCACTCCAGTCGACCTGGCTGTCACGCCGACCCACCAGCTCGGCTCGGGTCAGACGGCTCCGGGCCGCCTGTTGTCAGCCGTCTCTATGCCGGCCGGACTCGAGGCGACCGATCAGTCGCCGAGCTTGGAGCGCTTTCGGAGCCAAGAATCCTCCAGCCAACGGGTCTGCCGAAGCTCTGACGCCGGATCTATGGTCGGTGGACGGACGGCGAATTCCAGACACAGTCACAGGCCCAATTGGTCCGGTTTCACCTCATCCCGCGGATCCACAAGACCGACCAGCCACCAGAACACCCTGAAGCCGACAGGCCCCATGGACTCGAATCCCGTCCCTGAGCTCTTGTCACCAGCGGCTCTGACCTTGACGACCTCCGGCCGCAGCGATGAGTCCCGATGCCTCTCCGTCTCAGCAAATGGCCAGCCCCAACACCAACACCAGCACCAACATCAACATCAACCCCAACACCAGCATCCGTGCTTGATTCTCCCACAACCCGAACCACACCAGCCTCGGAGGCAGCCGAGACAACAGCACAATCATGTGCAACTGTGTCACCAGGAGGTGCAAGACAGGCAGATAAACACGCCTTGTCTTCTCTCGGGGCCACCACAAATGACCTCCTCTGATCTGCCCATCGGCCTGGTTGACCTGTGCGCAACCGAACAGACCAAAACGATGGAATATCCGCACTCCTTTCATCCGAGCTCTCTTCCTCCTTCTTCTCTATCCCTCTCCAATGCTGCCGATATACCGCCCAGCCAGCAACTTCAGAATATCCAGGTAAACGTTCTACTGCACATGTGAGTAATGGAATACAGTTCAGAGTTTTACTGGACAATTTGTCATTAGTATGCTAAAAGAGTTAGCGCCAGTTTAGCCAAAGCGCCGGTAACTAGGGGGCAAAAGAATCCCTGAAGCTGGATCTGAAATTGCAAGTTTAGCCAGAACTCTCTCAGGTCACATCTATACTCAATCAAGTAACCCTTCTCGTTGGAAGGAAAAGACGATTCTCTTGAAGCCAGCTTCTATAGCGTCATTTTACCTTCCAATTTGAAGGAAAAATCAGGCTGAGGAGGTTCATAAGATTTCGGCTTACCTTCTTTGGTCTCCGATGAGCCCGATCGTGTCCAAGTACGGTAAACCAGGAGCTTATGCAAGCAGCTTCTATCCACAAACCCTTTCCATCCAACTATTCAAACGATATGTACTAGAAGCAAACTTTCCTTTATAAAATAGGAACTCAAATGTCGGTTTTTGAAGTGAGCAACTGTGCTTGCTACATACGACCTTAAATTGTGGAATTTTAACCTCTTGACGCAGAATAGGAAATTTAGACCTCAACTTGCCGAACATTAGGCTATCTCTACGACCTCTGTTTGAGGCATAGTAAATGGAGTAAACACCTCCGAAATAGTAAGAGCACAGCTAACCGATCACCAAATTTGCCAACTTTAATAACTGTACACAGTTTTACTATCAAGCACCAAAATGTGAGTGGCTAGAATCTAGTTTATGACAAGAACTTGAATTGCATAATTTAGATAATAACTGATGGTTTCATTGCCAATAATCAAGTGCGTAGGCCTTGCCCACCAAAAGGATTTCCCATCTGAGCCGAAGTGTGGTTTCGTCGGCAAATGGGTCATACAATGACTGGTAATTTCACCTCACCGTCACAGTGCCACTGCTCTCAGGTGATAATAGCTCAATTAATGTCGACATGATAAACCACTATTTTCCATTTTATTCAACCATACTACTGTATTCTGACCGAGTAGTTGCAAACTTAAATGCCATCGCAAGGCCTGAAATTAAATTGTGAAAAATTACATTATCAGTTCTACAATATCCTAAGAAAGCCAGGTTGAGCTTTCCTATTCAACAATTACAGATGTCA